GTCCAAGGAACATACTGAGCGGGCTGTTTTACAGCTGAAAAACTATGTGATGGAGTTACACCTTTTCTATATCACCCCCAAAATAGCTATGGTATTTCTGTACTGCAATTTATTGTTATTTCTTGGCTAACGTGTATGAGATACTAATTAATCTGTGATTGGCTAAAATCATCTGATAGCGTCGGCCATGCTGATGTATCTGTCAGGGTCTACCTTACTCTAAACTTTTTTTTATCCTAGAGGAACAATCAGCCTACGTCACATCCTTTTTGTGAATTATTTATGACTTGACTTGTAGCTCTACCACCTTCCTCAAAAGCAAAGCAAATAGTGATGGTGTGAGTGAGCATGTCCAGTACAAAACTGCACATCTTAGACTATATAAACTTCATCCAGCTAATATATGATATTCATTATTTCAAAGGTGGGCATCACTGACTGGATCTCATTTACATTTTAATAAAAAGGCCAGTTATCACAGGCTCCATATATGGGTTTAATTCAGACCCACACACAGTGCATACAGACATCTGTAAAGCTGTGTAATAACTGAAATGAAACATCTGGTAAGCGGAGACAGAGACAGACCTAATGGAAAACAACAACACTGAATTTATCATGGTTTCTAACTACATCTGCCATGACAATGAAGCTTTATCCTGAAGCTGGGAGCCAGTTGGCCAGTCAGTGGTGGATGTAGCCTGAGGCCTCAGGGTTTGTACTGTAGGTCCGACCGCAAACAAGAGACTCTCTTCAGCAGACACTTGATTCTTCCAGACTGCTGGTCAATGAGCTGCTGCTGTGGGCAGATGGGTACATGTGCTCGCATACTGTTTCTAACAATGTTTAAATCAGGGAGAAACACAAAATATTCACAGATCAATACAGTGCCCATATAATGCACAAAACCAAATCCTACTTTCAAGGAATGAATGAATTTAAATTCACAGAGCAAATAACCAGAGCTGGTTAGGACAGAGTGTTGGTGGTAGTGGTATAGCATCAACAGAGGGGAATTCCTATTCAGAACAATTTTAAAACTCTTGCCAAACCTTAAAAATGTTGTGGTAGAACAACAAGGAGGGTGCTGCAAGGTTTGGATAAGCCATGTCCCCCTCCACGCAAGCTTAAAGCAATGGTGGACTGGAAGCTTCATCAGGCTGGGCATCAGGAAAAGGTCGTGGACTTTGGGTTTGTAGAGTGGAATCACTTCTATGCTACTGAGATACCCCTATCAAGATCAAGACACTCCAGACAGGACCAAGACATGGAACCAAGGGATTTCAGAAGTTAAGCATGTATACTATGTGTCCAAACAGTACAGCTTTCTACATAGCTTGCACTTCTCTCCCACTTTATGAGCGTAACGTTGACTCAAAGCATATTTTACACACATTTCAAGTACTGCACACTGCAGTACTGTGGCTTAACACACAGGACTGAAGCTACTTTTGCTACACTGTTTTATTCACTACACTTGACATGTTGACAGTTTATTACAGTATGTTTTATTGGTGACAACAGAATTCATAACTAATGGAATTATAAGCTATTCTAATATTTGTAATGAAGTAGTTTATTATATATGCAACATTTATAATTTATGCGACATTAATTAATTTACATGACTAATACTATAAAAATGAATAATTTTAGTTTATTCTAGCATTGTTTAAGAACAGTCATTTGTTTTATTTATTTATTGTTTTTAATTACATGTACTCTATGTAAGAGAAATACTTTGGAAACTATATACTTACATACCTAAAAGGTAACATATGTACTAAATTGATACCTGATGAAGGCTCGGTAATAGTGACATATAGATAACAGAAGTTATGGAAAATTATTATATCTGAGTAGTATGTATTACATATATACAGTAGTAGGTTATTCTTTTATATAATGGAATAATATCTTATAATTATAATAACAATATGATAATATCTTTATAGCACATTTCATTACAGGTAACAAAGTGAGTGACACTGAGTGATTTACAATTACTAAATAAAACAAATCACACATTGAAGGCTTTTTTGTAGAAATGTGTCTTAAGAAGTGAGATGAAACCGGGACCAGCCTCTGAGCCTGATCTCCTCTGGTAGACTGTTTCAGAATGTAGGGGCCCTGGCAGCAAAGGCCCTGTCCCCTTGGGTTTTTAGCCAAGACATAGTTTCCCCAGATCTGTGGCTGAAATAAACAAGCAAACTTGTCTAAGGGCTTAGCATAAGTTGCTAGTTCACTTAGGTTGCCATGATTTGAGTTCTATGAGCTTGGGGACCAAGTACATGGTCACCTGGTCTATTACAGTAAGCAATGGAAAATGACATTATGCTACAATAAACTGTTTTCTGTTTAACATTATGTAATGTTTGGTGATTTGGTGCCCCTACCTAGGACAGCTGTACAAATATATGTATTATGATTACATTGCTTATGATAAAAACCAAGCAAGTCACCAACTTTGCTAACAGCCGAACATCAAGCAAGCGCAACAACACACGTAATACATTACACGGTATACTGTAATGGAATGGAATAAGATGTTACATTAGAGTAGATAATCTTGCATATTTTATTTCAGTGTATAAAAACATAGTGTAGTACAGAGTACCATGTTGTATGTTTCTGATCTATCCATCCCAGATGACCTCAGTACATCTGTTTGAATAAATGATTCATTCTCCTCCTCTTTGCTGCCAGTGGGCCCTCTCTCGCTGGCCCCTCTCTATTCATGTCTGTTGACAGCGTGATGTATCCACATGGGGCCAAAGTGCTGACTCCAGCCCCTGACATCCTCCTCATTCACAACCTTTGACCCATTGCAAAAGAGGATGTCTCCCTGGACAGGGATTTCCCTGCTGTTTGACAACTGTGTGGCACAAAAAGCCGCCTGGCCCTGTTGACACGGGCATTAAGAGGGACAATGAAGGGACAGACTGGGAGGCCCCCCTGGAAAACAACACTTCCCTGCATATTGGCAAATCACCATATCTGTCTTACCTGACTGGTTATCTTTTTATGCTGAAACTTGCAACTTCGATAATCAGATTATTGTAAGTGATAGTAGTATCAGACACTGAGTAGAGCATACAGCATATAAAGTATAGCTCATTGCAGGCCTGGAATTTCATAATTTTTGGGGCAAGGTCATCGTAGTTTCTAAAAATGCAGCGCAGTGAGGATCCAAACATTTCAAAGAGGAGACGACCATCTGTCTGTTATGGTAACAGCCTGCAGTGTACAGTAGGCTTCCTGCTCAAAGAAATATAGTTAGTTGATCTTTATTGAAATTTTTTCTTTTTTTGTCAAACTGTTATAATCAAAATATAAATGTCACACTCACCTTTACCACAGGCAACATTTATTATAGTCAAGTTTTGAAGCAATGCAATTAGAATTACTCCCATTACTGATTTCAGACATTCCTGTTTGAAGTGATTTCCCCTTTGTTTTAAGATGTTTCAACATTTATAGTGAGCTACACATTTGATATAGCACTTGTTACCAAGCACGATTTTAGCTCTCTCTTCTTTTACTAAAATATTTTTGTGGTCTGTTAAAAAACTCTGCTTCTTTTGTACTTACAGGCTGTGTTCCCCGAACATTTATTTGATGGCCACAATTTTTATTTCTAAAAAAACAAAATTTTATCATTCCTTTGTAGTTGTTCATTAAGATCTTCAACTTAAGTACACTTAACTGGGGAAACCTAACCATTGCGTTTAAAGCTGGAGAAACTAGCAAGAGACTGCTAGAATTTTAAAGTTAAAGGTTAAGGAGAGATCACAATTTCTGTTACATGTCAATAAAGTAAACATATCCTGTCTTGTGTTTCAAGTCATTGTACTTTTTCAATGTTTAACCAGGACCACAATTTCCCCTAACCGTAACCTAGTGCTTTAAGAGCCTTTACAATATCATCAAAAAGCTTAATAGTGGGTATTGTGTCATTATAAAAATATTTTCTGCTTAAATATTTTGCTACTTTGCAGATACGTTCATCAGACATGTTTCCTCATTATGGTTATAACAAAAGTGGCGGCATTTTGTTTCTCTCAACATCTTAACATATTTGCCTTTGCAAGGTTGCAGTTGTGATATACTTTTCTTATTAATATCCACTTTGCTGGGGCCTAAAGCACAGCTAGTTTTCTTTCTTTCTTTCTGCAGCAAGTCATTGGCTTCACAACCTTGCTTTCTTTGTTTTTGTCATTTCACTTTTGGCCTTGTGGGTAATATCACAGGTCGACAGGAGGACCGAGTGTATTGGGTGGGGGGGTTAGGTGGCATTAGTTCCTTTAAGACAATGAGATTAAATGTTGCTCTCTGTCTTGGGTTTCTTTTGCTCATCATATATGATAATAATAATGATGTTTTTCTTCTTTTGTGCCTTTTGAACATTCCTGGTCTGTGGAAAATTAATAAAGAGAGTCTACAAAAAAGAATGTTCCAGGTTTACTTACGTATCCACTTTACTTTGCTGCTGTCCCACTCAGAATCTGTATATGTATGCTCTGGATGCCTTATATTGCTATGAACAACGTGACAAGACATTATCAGCAGTGATAGTGGTAAATAGGAGTGTTCACAGTTAACATGCTGTAGCCTATTTAGTGAATGAATGGGGAAAACTTCCACCATGATAAGCAAACCTGTCCCATCATATGTATGCATAAAAGTAGTCTATTTGTGATGTTTGTCGGATATTCTTACATCTGTTTGAATATACTTACTAAAATGGAGCCTATAGTGTGAATCTGTATCAAAAATATTTATATCAACCTTAAAGGATACTAACGTAGGCAAACGTAGTCCTTCATACATAAATGTTACTTCGGGAGTACAATTATATGTCGCCACAGGTACTTTTTTACTATTATTTTCATACTTCTTTCTGCTTTTGTTACCGTTAACTGGTCTCGTTCTCCGTTCTGCGCATGTCCCTTGCGGTCCACACACAAAACCAGAGGCTGTGGACGGAGAAAGAGAGAGAGAGAGAGAGAGAGAGAGAGAGAGAGAGAGCGACCAGGGATCCATGGAGCATGTCACAGCACCAGTGTTTTCTATGTCTTCTTGTCCACGATGCACTTTAGGATTTCAATAAGATGCGTGTGTGTTTCCAGATAATCAGTTTCTTCCTCGCCGTAAACTTTTACAGCAAGCCGCTCCGAGCTCAGGGTAAGTCTGTCTCTGTCTGTACCTCTGCATGTCCATATTGCCGTCTGTTTCTGCGTTCCTGTTTTGGTAAAGTTGTTGAAAAATGTCAGAACAGTGTAAAATTCAAGATTAAAGCCATTTTAGTACGCTGCAGGTCGGGACTAACTTATTGATTCAATGACAGCTGGCATCCTGTTGGGCCGACAGATATAGCTCATGTAGTGAGAACATCACGCCAAACCCCATTCAAAATCGTTCAATATGACATTATTTTGCTTTCTGGTGAAATTGAGTGAACCGCAGACTAGTCAATAATATGTATTCTGAATCGTAAAACTCCCCTGGTGAATTCGGGTATTGAAAGGTCCAGCAGACAGCGCTTTTTCCAATAAAACCTATACCTTTTAACTAGTTCACAGTGCTAGCTACCGCCCACCACGAATTTCTATCGTTAGGTGTGAAATGACTGTGGGAATAACGGGGGAAACAAGTGTAAAAGTTGGAATTTAATCATTAGTGGAGTATTTTTTTGCACGCAGAATTGAAGAGTAACATCCTTGACATTCACAAAAGGTTTGCCCATTGTGATTTTAAGGTTTCTACCTTTTCCCGAAAAGCAAAGCGACGATATGTGGAGTTAATCCATTATTGGAATGAATGTTAGCATGACGCTCCATCCGTCTCGGAGAACGTGATGAAACGTTATGGGGTTAGCATCCTGTGTAGCGTTTTCTGAGAACATGAGCCTTTGAAGATTTAAGGACGAGTGTGGCGTCGTTAATGTACATTTACCCATTGGGGCTCCTTGTAATATTTGGCTGCCTGTAGGCTATAACAGTTTTGAAAGTGTTCGGCTCCTTGTGTGAATAGCCAGCGATAGGAAGGAAACAGAGCTGATATAGCGGGTCGGGAAACAGTCAGAAGGGACTTACATGGCAGAAGCACTTTATGCCGCCTTAGTTATCGTAAAGCACACAGCTTCTATGAAGACTTCTTAAGATATTTTACTAAACAGTAATTCGGGACCCTCACACACCCAAAACACATTCACTTCTATAACATACTAAATGATGTAACTGGTTGGCGCGTTGTTCAAAAATCATTATGTCTTCAAATACACCTCAGTAAGTTTTGGCAAGCTTCGAGCGGAACGTTATTTTAATTCATACCGGGTATTAATGGATTATAAAGGCTATATGCCACGTGTTTAGCGAAGATTTCCTCCTAAATCACGTTTCAATAGCTTTCCTCGGTGAGAAAGAAAGGAAACCAGGAAATAAAACTGCCTGCTGTTTTGAATGGAGTCTGGCCGCTATAATTGCCAACACTGTGTGCCCTAAGTAAAACGTGTTTGAATGAATGGTGTATTAGCATCTCGGGGTGCTAATTAATTCATTGGGACTTGTTAAGGGAGTTAGATAAACACAGAGGTCTGTGTTGGTGCTGTTGGACAACTGGCCTTGAAATGGCTTTCACTTGTTAATTGGCTGAGTCAACAGGAGCTGCCACTTTGTACTTTGTTGCTACATTTTCAAGCCATTTGGCAAGAGGTCTTCTCAAGAGACCTTCAGCTGATGTCAGTCTTTAATGTCATTTTGCCAAGGTGCAGACTAGCCTCCTTTAGCAAGTGTTTTAAGGGGTTCCATGGGCCGGGTTATAAATTGGTCTAACATGCTGGTGCATAGGTCTTTGATGTTCAGTCCACATGGGTGCAGGATGTGGATGTGCTCTGGCTAAATATCACTTTGTACAGTTTTTTTTCTTACACATCTGTCAGGAACATGAAAGAAACACAGCTCTTAGATCCTCATTTGGGGTGCACATTGTCTCCCAAAGGCTTGTGACAGTAAAACATCTCTCAGGAAATCCAAAAAGGTGTGATGAATAGCACCATGTGGGAAATGATCAGCCGGTGTTGACCTTAGGCAGATAATGGCTTCTTCTCCAGCGTGCTCCCACCACTTATTTTCTGTAGAAATTCCATACATTTTTTTCCTCTACTGAGTTTTGCTAAACTTCTATCCCTCATTTCTTTCATGTTGCAATTTGGTTATGGAGGCTAGCCGTGAGAGAATGCATCTGGAACCAATTTGACTCCTCAAAGCAGAAGGGGAAGAGAAGGGGAAGGAGGGAGGTGAACTGCAGCCCTTTTCTTTCCATGTCCACTGTGAGCAGGCATGGGCCTGAGTCCCGCAAACCTAATTATAGTTTTGTGAACACAAGATTAAAGTGCAGCATAAAGAGTTGAGTTTCTTGGCTATACCTTGGTATAGTGATTCTTAAATTGACTGAAATACAATGTTTTTCTAACCAGCAACCCTTTGCCAGTGTTTTGTCAAAGCTAGATAGAAAGAAAGAGAAATACACTCAGTGAATTTATGACAATAATTAGGGTCATTTTTTTGATTGACGATTTATCGTTTTGGGCAAATGAGTTATATGCAAATCTGGAATGTTTCAGAATATTTCAGCACAACAGTGATTTTTGACTGAGACTGCCGACCTGGCTATGTTCGCTGGAGTTCAAAGCACAAAGTCTCGTCATAGTTGAGATGTACATGCTAATAAACAGACCTCTGCAGAGCAACAGGGCGACTATCAGAGGGCAGACACATCACATAGGCTACTTCATATCCAAGTGGAGTTATCAATTGCCTGCCACAGTCATAGATATTTATAAGCACTTGTTTCTATTTTCTCAGCACTTGTGTAACCAGCTTTTATTTCACAAACGTCAAGTTAACTGTTCACACTTAAAACAGGCAGTACTTACTTCAGTAGTACATATTTCAGAGTAATAATAATAATAATAATAATAATAATAATCTTTATTTGTAGAGCACTTTTCAAAAACAAGTTACAAAGTGCTTTAACAAGTGTAAAGACAATAATACCCAAGAGACAATAATACAAAAACAATACAAGATAAAAGCATGAAAACATTGAAAAGACTAAAATAGATAAAAATAAAATTAGTAAAATACAATAAAATAAAAGGGATAAAATAAAGTCAAATAAGATCGGGAAAAGCTCTCCTATAAAAGTATGTTTTAAGAAGGGACTTAAAAGAGTTCACTGACTCAGCCGACCTGATTTCCTCGGGCAGGCTGTTCCAGAGCCTCAGGGCCCTGACAGCAAACGCTCTGTCCCCTTTAGTTTTCAGTCAGTTTCAGTACATCCACATTAAGCAGATTAAAGATGTTATGCGTCTTTTTCTCTCTGTTTCAGCCCTCCGTCCAGACTAAAACAGCATTTTTCTCCCTACATATCATAGCTTTTCCAAAACGTCCTCCAGGGGTGTATAAATCCTGGCTTGGTGTTTCATTTGCCCAGGGCCAACAGAGCTTTTGTAAAATGATAACATAGGCTGCCCAGTGAGGGTTGTGTGCCACAGTAAAGTTAAGAAGACAAGCTTTAGTTGCCTCTAACTTTCTCTGTGGTTGATCATTTTAAATGCCAACATAGTCGAAAACACAGCACAACTTTTGTCATTAACCTGGATTTTGTAGATTTTGTCAGACGATGTTAGTAGTAGTAGTATACTTTATTGTCCTCGAAAGGAAATTTGTTTTGGACTGCATGGTTGCTGCATGTACATAGAAATATACAATATACAAGTATAAAAAGTATAAAAAGAGGAAAGACAATTAATTTACAAATTTAAAATAAATAAGATAGACTGTTATTCAACATACGTGTAGACACAGGAACAAAATAATTTTTATACCGTTTTAGTTTGCACAGTGGAACTCTATATCTTCTGCCGGAGGGGAGCAATTCATACTGAGAGTGCAGAAAGTGAGTTTGGTCCCCCACAATTTTCTGCACCTGATTTAAAGTGCTATTCTCAAATAACTGTTGGAGATTCAAAGATTCCTCATTTCCAACTGTTTTAAGTGCTGTCAACACCAGATGTGACAATTTGGATTTTAGCTGTATAGATAGGTTCCCAAACCATACTGTAACACCATACTTAACAATACTTTCTAAAACAGCCTAGTAGAACAGCATCATAATTTTCTTATTCACCCCATAAAAACGTAATCTACGTAAAAAATATAGCCTCTGGTGCAGCTGTGTGCAAACCCATTCCGAGTGAGTTTTCCAAGTAAGTGAGCTGTCTATATAAACACCCAAATACTTGTAAGTCTGCGTTTGGGTGATGTTTTGGTCATGTATGACCACTTGATGATGGTCCCCAATACCTTTTGGATCGAATATGAACTCCGCTGTTTTCTTTATATTTATTATTAGATCATTTTTATCACACCACTCAACAAACTGACTTATTTCTGGCAGGTATACATCTCTAATATTATCGTCTTCATCGAGAAGACTTAAGATGGCTGTGTCGTCTGAATATTTAAAAATATAGTTTTTTGAATGCTTACTTGAACAATCATTTGTAAATAAAGTAAAAAGAATTGGAGAACTGACACAGCCTTGTGGGACACCTGTGCTAGTCTTTCTTTGTTGTGAAAGACAATTGTTTACTTTAACGCACTGAATTCTGTCAGTTAAAAAAGATGAGTACCACTTTATGATAGCTTGGTTTACACTCAACTGCTCCATCTTTGATCTAGGTTGTTAGCAACCTCTGCTTTTAACATTGACACAATACACTTTTCAAAACATTTCATAATCACAGACGTTAACGCAATCGGTCTAAAATCATTGTTTACTACGGGCCTGGCTATCTTCGGGGCCGGTATGATTGCAGCCCTTTTCCAGAGGCTAGGAACAGTACCAATGTCCAGAGATTGTTGAAATATAGGAAGCCATACTGGAGTCAATTCATCAGCAAAAATTTTTAAGATGTAGGCTGAAATTCCATCCGGGCCTGCCGATTTGTTAGGACAAATGTGTTATCAGTTGATCTGATTAGCATCAATCAGCAACCTTTCTCTAAGAACACCAGAAGTCTCTATATCGCTAAGGCTGATTGCAGGAGTTTGGCTGCACTTCTCAAATCTTAAATAAAAATTATTTAGGTCATTGGCTTTCTGTAGATCATCTGAAGT